CGCACAGTGCACTGGCCGAAGCCCACAAATATCAATTCTGAATGTTCACACTGTCCGCGAAACGCTCGGCGTTGAGTGTGCGTCGTGCCGAGGAGCTGACAACGCATTTCCTGTGCGCCCTGTTCACATTCAAGCCCCACCGAGCGAATCACCAGCACACCGTGAGCCTCAGCAACGCTCCTTTACACAGCAACTACACATAGACAGGTTGACCGACGTTTCGGCCAACATGCCCTTTCTTTCAGAGAGTGCACAGATAATGATTGGATTTCAAGCCCACGTCATTCTGCGGTGCTTCCCTACCCTACCATCTGTCTGTCCTTTGAAGAAGGTGCGTTGAACGAAACATCGGCCCGAACACAGCATGTACCTCTGTGTATCTCCATAATTTACCGTTATAAATACTGTAGGTGGTTAGTGGCAAATGTGTGATTAACGTTAGCCTGGGTAACTGCCAACGCGGTTCCTTGGTGTTTTAATTGATTTACGGGTTATTAATTTAGCATCGATGTTTCAAATAAATCTATCCAATAAAACATGATGATATTCTGCCGTTCTTTGGATTGAAAGCCTTTACCGAGAAGTAAACTTAATGACATACAACTCCACTCATTCCTTAATAAGGTAAATGTATGTTGAACTTCTTTAGCACCGTACACAGCCAATGGAGGTGCTGGTGTTGCTTTAATCATTGGGCAGGTATTGAGATAAACAGCCGATAGCAATAACAATAATAATAATACTACACAACGAGCGGAAATCATCCCAATTGAGTTCGTATTTGTTTTAGGCCCACGTGAAGGTGGATTTCTGCCGAATGCTTGTCGTCAACCTCTCCACCACCCGACAAGGAATTCATATTCTTGGTTCTTTTGGTAAAGTCACGTAGATAAGAAAATTGTAATCATAGACTAAAATGAAGATAACATTTTACTTTATTCTTTTTATTTTCTGTCCCCCGTATAACCGAAACAGACTTTTGAAACAAGTGCTGTTAGCGAGCACCTATGAAGGCCGGCACGGCACATTATTGGATAAGTTGAACGGCACCACGCCCGGCCGCCTTTGTCTTCCTAGTCTTCCTAGTAACATAGACCACACACACAATAACACACACACACAATATACACATATAGCACACACAATAACACACACAATATACACATAGACCACACACACAATAACACACACAATATATACATAGACCACACGCAATAATATACACAATATACACACATAGACCACACACACAATATACACATAGACCACACACACACAATAACACACACAATATACACATAGACCACACACACAATAACACACACACAATATACACATAGACCACACACAATAACACAATATACACATAGACTACACACAATAACACACACAATATACACAAATAGACTACTGACACAATAACACACACAATAACACACACACACACACCGTGTACGCACATACACGCAAAGACGAACAGAGAAGACGTGTTGCACATACACATACATACACAAACATACATACACATAGACACAAACACACGACGTGTATGAGACAAATACACACAGACATAATACATACACAAAACAAAACAAATATAAAGACCCCCCTCCCCCCCGTATAGTCTTGACAGACTTTTGGGGCAAGTGCTGTTAGCGAGCACCTATGAAGGCAGACACGGCACACGAGGGGGTGGGTGGCCAGCACCACGCCCGGCCGCCTTTGTCTCCCCAGTGGCGATGTTTACACACCGCACCAGGAACTCATTTGAGGCTAAGCCGACCAAGGGGAGGCCCAGGACCGGTTCAGACAATCGTCACCGGTATTGGTTGTGAGCGGGAATCAACTCGGGTCGCTGGGTTCGTAGCGCAGTGTAGCGCTAACCACTGCACCACCGCTCCCCACTAACGCACGCACAGACACACGACCTGTACACACAAAAACACACGCAAACACATATATATACACAAATATCATCCGTATAGCCATAACAGACTAATAGGAGCATACAAAGACAGACGCAGACTGCATAGACGTGCGTACATTTAGCACACAAACACGCAGTGCATGTAACATCGGTTTCGTTAACAGCACTTGCCCCAGTAGCCGATGTGGTCTGTACGGCGGATGTTTGAATTTGTACATCGATCTCAGAGTGAAAAGCCATTTCTGATTTCATTCCCTCGAGTGGTCACACTCCCAACGAATGAATGAGTTAAAGTGAAAGTAAAAATGAAAATGAATGAAAGTGAAAATGAATGAATGAGTGAAAGTGAAAATGAATGAATGAGTGAAAGTGAAAATGAATGAATGAGTTGAAGTGAAAATGAATGAGTTAAAGTAAAAACGAATGAATAAGTTAAAGTGAAATGTAACGAATGAGTTAAAGTGAAAATGAATAAATGCGTTAAAGTGAAAATGAATGAGTTGAAGTGAAAATGAATGAAGAGTTAAAGTGAAAACGAATGAATAAGTTAAAGTGAAAATTAATGAATGAGGTAAACTGAAAACGAATGAGTTAAAGTGAAAATGAATTAATTAGTTAAAGTGAAAACGAATGAATTAGTTAAAGTGAAAATTCATGAATTAGTTAAAGTGAAATTGAATGAGTTAAAGTGAAAATGAATGAATTAGTTAAAGTGAAAATGAATGAATTAGTTAAAGTGAAAATGAATGAATTAGTTAAAGTGAAAATGAATGAATGAGTAAAAGTGAAAATGAATGAATTAGTTAAAGTGAAATTGAATGAGTTAAAGTGAAAATGAATGAATTAGTTAAAGTGAAAATGAATGAATTAGTTAAAGTGAAAATGAATGAATGAGTTAAAGTGAAAATGAATGAATGAGTTAAAGTGAAAATGAGCACAATTCTCTCTTCATTGCAAAAGTGTGAAAAACTGACGTTTTAGGCGACTTGCCTCGCGCGTGAACATATATAAACACATACAGACAGCACGGAGTACGAGTTTAATCGGAGAGAGATACGTGGTATAAGACACTCGGGAACCCGTTCCGTTTCCTCAACCTCCGTCCTTAGCACGGTAGCAGTAATGTACAACTGTCTCCCTTACAGGGCGACGTTTCAGTCGCCGAGTCTTCTTCCGAGAAGGGAGCAGAGCGAGTAATTGGTTCTTTTACGATTGTTAGAACATCGCGCCTTTACTGTGCGGCCACTCTGCTCTCTCTCTCTCTCTGCTGACGGCTCATCGCCCGAAACATTAACCCGTAAATTACACATGTGTGTTCGTACGCCACTGCCGGACACAACAGGTTAACGACGCGTTGTGGTTACACACAGCACGTGATGTCCACAGGGTCACGTGGTGTGGTTACACACAGCACGTGATGTACACAGAGTCACGTGTTGTGGTTACACGCGGCACTGACTTCACACAGAGTCACGTGGTGTGGTTACACACAGCACGTGATGTACACAGAGTCACGTGTTGTGGTTACACGCAGCACGTGATGCACACACAGGGTCACGTGTTGTGGTTACACACAGCACGTGATGTACACAGAGTCACGTGTTGTGGTTACACGCGGCACTGACTACACACAGGGTCACGTGGTGTGGTTACACACAGCACGTGATGTACACAGAGTCACGTGTTGTGGTTACACGCAGCACGTGATGCACACACAGGGTCACGTGTTGTGGTTACACACAGCACGTGATGCACACAGGGTCACGTGTTGTGGTTACACGCAGCACGTGATGTACACAGAGTCACGTGTTGTGGTTACACGCAGCACGTGATGCACACACAGGGTCACGTGTTGTGGTTACACACAGCACGTGATGCACACAGGGTCACGTGTCGTGGTTACACACAGCACGTGATGTACACAGGGTCACGTGTTGTGGTTACACACGGCACGTGATGCACACAGGGTCACGTGTGTGGTTACACACGGCACGTGATGTACACAGGGTCACGTGTCGTGGTTACACACAGCACGTGATGTACACAGGGTCACGTGTTGTGGTTACACACAGCACGTGATGTACACAGGGTCACGTGTTGTGGTTACACACAGCACGTGATGTACACAGGGTCACGTGTCGTGGTTACACACAGCACGTGATGCACACAGGGTCACGTGTCGTGGTTACACACAGCACGTGATGTACACAGGGTCACGTGTTGTGGTTACACACAGCACGTGATATACACAGGGTCACGTGTGTGGTTACACACGGCACGTGATGTACACAGGGTCACGTGTTGTGGTTACACACAGCACGTGATGTACACAGGGTCACGTGTCGTGGTTACACACAGCACGTGATGTACACAGGGTCACGTGTTGTGGTTACACACAGCACGTGGTGTACACAGGGTCACGTGTCGTGGTTACACACAGCACGTGATGTACACAGGGTCACGTGTCGTGGTTACACACAGCACGTGGTGTACACAGGGTCACGTGTTGTGGTTACACACAGCACGTGGTGTACACAGGGTCACGTGTGTGGTTACACACAGCACGTGATGCACACACAGGGTCACGTGTTGTGGTTACACACAGCACGTGATGTACACAGGGTCACGTGTCGTGGTTTCACACAGCACGTGATGTACACAGGGTCACGTGTCGTGGTTACACACAGCACGTGGTGTACACAGGGTCACGTGTTGTGGCAGCACGTGGTGTACACAGGGTCACGTGTTGTGGTTACACACAGCACGTGATGCACACACAGGGTCACGTGTTGTGGTTACACACAGCACGTGATGCACACACAGGGTCACGTGTCGTGGTTACACACAGCACGTGATGTACACACAGGGTCACGTGTTGTGGTTACAAACAGCACTGAGTGTACACAGGGTCACGTGTTGTGGTTACACACAGCACGTGATGTACACACAGGGTCACGTGTTGTGGTTACACACAGCATGTGATGTACACAGAGTGACGCGTTACACGCAGCACTGGCTCTGCACACACACACAGAGTGACATTACCCACCGATGTCACCAGCATCCTCCTCACCTTCCGAGCAATGCTCGCCAAAGAATCTTCCTTCGAGTCCTCCTCCTCCTCCCCCACCCATCTCGTCGGAGCCGGCCCTCTGCGGCGGCAGTCTTCCCAGGATGCTGTCGATGCAATACGACGATTTCAAGTGTCCGCTCGGCGAGGCCAATTTACTTTTCTCCTCCGACATCTTTGCGAGCTCCCGGGAGCAGTGCACGCTTTTGGCGGACTGCGTCGCCATGCCCGGCTCTGTCTGCCAGAGAGAGAGAGAGAGACAGAGAGGGGGGCAGGGGGCAGGAGGGGGTGCCGACTGGTGGTGCCACTCACTCGTGGAAGTGCTGCTGAGGGATGGAGGGAAGGGATGGAGGGAGGGAGCAGCGGCAGCGGCAGGGACGGAGCGAGCAACTTCACCGGGACGCGACCACGCAGTGTCGGGACGAGTTCTCTGGCTCTCTCTGTCTGTCTGTGTGCAATGATCGCAGCAGCAGCAGCGGCAGCGACAGGATGAGGAGGAGGAGGTGGCGGGTGAGGAGGAGGAGGAGGGAGGTGCTGGGCTGTGGGTGGGTGGAGGGGGGACAGCCTCCTCCATTCAGCCGCTAATTGGCTGCGATGTGACGGTAGCTCCACGTTGAGGGTTGAGCTTGGGACGCGTTACGGCGACAGAGGAGGGGGGGCGAGGGGGGGGGCGAGGGGGGGCGGCAGAGTTCATCACGGACTCAAGTCAGACAGCGAGAGCAGCAGCAACAGTAGCAGCAGTAGTAACAGCAGCAGTAGTAACAGCAGTAGCAACAGTAGCAATAGAAGCAGCAGTAGTAACAGTAGCATCAGTAGTAGCAGCAGTAGTAACAGCAGCAGTAGTAACAGCAGCAGTAGCAGCAGCAGTAACAGCAACAACAGCAGCAGTAGTAACAGTAGCAGCAGTAGCAGCAGTAGTAGCAGCAGTAGTAACAGCAGCAGTAGTAACAGCAACAGCAGCAGCAGTAGTAACAGCAGCAGTAGTAACGGCAGCAGTAGTAACAGCAACAGCAGCAGCAGTAGTAACGGCAGCAGTAGTAACGGCAGCAGTAGTAACGGCAGCAGTAGTAGCAGCAGCAGCAGTAGCAACAGCAGCAGTAGTAACAGCAGTAGTAGTAGCAGCAACAGCAGCAGCAGTAGTAACAGCAGCAGTAGTAACGGCAGCAGTAGTAACAGCAGCAGTAGTAACAGCAGCAGCAATAGTAGCAACAGTAGCAGCAGTAGTAACAGCAGCAGTAGTAACAGCAACAGCAGCAGCAGTAGTAGCAGCAACAGCAGCAGCAGTAGTAACGGCAGCAGTAGTAACGGCAGCAGTAGTAACAGCAGCAGTAGTAACAGCAGCAGTAGTAACAGCAACAGCAGCAGCAGTAGCAACAGTAGCAGCAGTAGTAACAGTCGCGCTGGTGGTGGGGTCAAGTGTGGGTACGGCCTCCCCCCCCAGAGGTCGCAACCGGGTACCCGATACCCGTACCCTACCCGATACCCGGCTACCAGTACCCGGCCGGGTACGGGTCACCGTTTGCGACCCTGGTGCGGCCGGGTACGGGTAGACCGTGAGTCACTGGTGAGTAACCGTTTGTTACTCATTTCCCAACGTCTTGACTCTTCTCACAATTCAAGTTCCTAGAATCAACCCACCCGCGCCTGCAACATGGCTTCATCCCAGAGGTCGCAATCGGGTACCCTACCCGATACCCGGCCGGGTACGGGTAGCCGGGTATCGGGTAGGGTACGGGTACCCGTTTGCTACCCTGGTGCGGCCGGGTACGGGTACGGGTAAGGAATCAAAACCCGTTTGCGACCTCTGCCCCCCCCCCAGCATCTTCCTCGAGGGCCCTGCCGTCGTGGAGGATGACGGCCAGCGGCCTTACTGGAGCAGCATCGGCAGATTTGGTGGAAATTCCACATTCACATGGAGGGTACCAGTTGATCCATCTATCTATCCATTGCCTTACCTGTATTGGATGGTGCTTTGCTGACGGTTTAACTCAGTGGTACGTGATTTATCGGTTCTGGAAGGACGATGACGACGATGATGATGGGCTGAGTGGATCCCTGAAACTTGGGGAGAGGAGGTGGTGGGGGGGGGGGGGGGCATTGAGTGGACGCTTGTGATCATGAGACAGTGCCTACCCGCGCAGTACTCGGGATATGCAAGTACTCTACTCGATTAGCAGCGAGCGTGGGGCAGCCAGGGGGTGCCTTGCCCCTCCCCCTGGTGGCCAAAGCTACGAGCTGGGGGGGGGGGGGGCTTGACAGCCACCCATGAGAAATGTTTTCAGCAACATTGTCAAAGAACGACGACACTTACTTTGCGAAGATGGAGTGCCCCTACAGCGGTAGATGTTCGAGACCGTGAGCGTCACGGTGTGATTCGGCAAGAGAATCCGCGATGTTGAATAACAGCCTCTGGGTGCGACCGTGCGATGAGACAAATCAAATATTGGGGGGCCCCACCTTGCTGATTCTGCACCCCCTGAGCTGATAATGTCGTCACCACGCCATTGCCCATTAGTTGAAGTGTTTCGCTTTACACGGCGTGTTCAGAGTCAAACTCACGTTGCAAAAAAACAAGGAACCCAGTTCGCCATTCATCGCAACGCACGCCAGTAGCATTTGAGTTTAACCCAGACCACCCCTAGGTCGGCTCAGCCTAAAATGAATACCTGGTTGGGTGAATCCAGCTAGGTAATTGACAGCTGGAGAGAGAGAGTGTGATCGCGGGGTCATCTTGACCGACTTTCCAGCCGCCTTAACACACATACAAAAACAAAGGTCCCCCGTATAGCTAAACCGACTGTTGGGTCAAGTGAAATTGGCGAGCGCATTTTTAATAATGCGAGCGCGATGAGCGATGTGGCCGCATTTATCTCCCGAGTACTGATGTTTACACACCGCACCAGGGACTCATTTTAAGGCTGAGTCGACATAGGGGAGGCCCAACACCGGATCAGTTATTCGTCGCTGGTAGCAGTTTTTTATTTGAGTCGGGAATCGAACTTGGGGGTCTCCGGGTTCTTAGCGCAGTGCGCCGACCACTGCGCCACCGCTCCCCATCTTTACAAACACACAACAAAGACAAAGATCGCCCGTATAGCCTTTACCAGACTGTTGGGGCAAGTGCCGTTAGCGAGCACCCATATCGGCACGGCCGGCACACGAGGGGTTTGGTGGCCAGCACCACGCCCCACCGCCTTTGTCTCCCCCGTGGCGATGTTTACACACCGCACCGGCAACTCATGTACGACTGAGTTGACCTATATCCACACACGTGGAGACACACAGATACAATTGGTGGCGCTCTACGGTCCTTCTCGCCTCGTGTTGTCCCCAGCATCACGCGGTAAGCGCGTGTGGCGGCGCGCGTGTGAGCGACACCTGCCAATCATCTCAGTCAGCCATCTCAGTCAGCCGTCTCAGTCAGTCATCTCAGTCAGTCGTCTCAGTCAGTCATCTCAGTCAGTCGTCTCGCCGTTTCAGACGTCGTGACAGTCGTCCCACAAGAGTGCCCACACTTTACCCAATCACACGCGACCATAGACTCAGTGTCGCGAACCCAACTGTGCTTCTGCGTGGACTACATGGGGTGGAAGCTAAACACGTGGGCATCACTTTGTTTAGAACTGCCGCGCCGGAGAATCGGCCACGTGCTTTTTGTACAAAGATCCCCCGTGTAGCCTCCAAATACTTGTTGGGACAAGTGCTGTCAGCGAGTAGCACCTATGAAGGCTGGGCACGGCACACGAGCGGGTGGGTGGCCAGCACCACGCCCGACCGCCTTTGTCTCCTCCAGTGGCGATGTTTACACACCGCACCAGGCACTCATTTGAGGCTGAGTCGACCTAGGGGAGGCCCAGGACTGGTTCAGATAATCGTCACCGGTGTTGGTGACCGTGAGCGGGAATCAAATTCGGTTCGTAAGCGCAGCGCGCTAACCGATGCACCACCGCTCCTCACACACACACAGACACGCGCTAGAATCACACACACGGACACACGCAGAGGCATCGCTTCGCAGGTTATTCGCGTCTCAGTATGTCCCGGAAGCTGTCGCGTGTGAACGAGTTCACGACGCGTCGGCTTGCAATGCAGAGAATATCGCCGGTTCCATTTCTCGGCGCGGTAGTTGATTTCATGAGCAAGTTTACTCAATAACCCACCTCTCTCGCGCACCATCACTTCGATGTCCCCACTGAGAGTATTTTTTTTTACCAGGTAAGGGGCCGTCCATAAATGACGTCACGCGATTTTGGACGATTTTTGACCCCCCCCTCTCCCTTCGTCACACGACGTCACAAAAAGTTAGACCCCCCCCCCCTCAAATATAACGTTACAAAGCTCTGCCCCCCCCCCAAAAAAATGAAACATGCTTCAAATCGCTTTAAACTATTGTCATCGCAGTGCGTATTTAATGTGGCGCTGCACTCTGATGTAGGAGAAAACATTTATTAAAAAGTATATTTAATTAAGTAGAACGTGTTGTCTATATTTATTTAAAGTTGCACATTTTGATGTGACGTCACATTTCTAAAACCCCCCTCGTCACACATCGTCACAAATGTCTGACCCCCCCCCCCCTCTAGGTGCGTGACGTCATTTATGGACGGCCCCTAAGGCCCACTGAGCCATGTAGCTATTTTTCAGAAGCGACTCAACGAAGTGGCTTCTCATCATCACGTGGAAATGTATAGCAGTCAAATACTCTAAGGGGCCGTCCATAAATGACGTCACGCACCTGGGGAGAAGGGGGCAGAGCTTTGTGACGTCAAATTGAGGGGGGGGGGTCTGACTTTTTGTGACGCCGTGTGACAAAAGGGGTGATGAGGGGGGTAAAAAATCGTCCAAAATCGCGTGACGTCATTTATGGACGGCCCCTAAAGGCATGTTTAATTCTCAATGTTATTGGGTGCACGACAGTGAAGTACACTGCACTATGTAAGTTAACTTTTTTTTATTGTTTTATATTTATATTATTTTATTATTTCCCTTCTACGTGACTTTACCGAAAGAACCAAGAATATGAATCCCTGCAGTCACGAAAGCTTTAAATCAAGATTTAAGTTCAACTTAAATTTCGATTTAAAGCTTTCGTGACTGCAGGGATTCATCTTCTTGGTTCTTTCGGTAAAGTCACGTAGAAGGGAAGTAATAAAATAATAAAAATAAAACATAATAAAACAATTCTCACGACGTTTCGGCCACAACGCAAGCAGCCGTCCTCAAGCTCGTGTGCTGTTTCATTCAGACTCTGTCGCCTCGACGGACCTGGTTTTCACCTGAGGACGGCTGCTTGCGTTGTGGCCGAAACGTCGTGAGAATTGTTTTATTATGTTTTATTTTTATTATTTTATTACTTCCCTTCTACGTGACTTTACCGAAAGAACCAAGAAGATAAGTTCAACTTATTTCGCAACCGAACGTAGCCAATGGTACTGCAGTCGACTGGCTGCGATGTGCTAAAGTGTGGGCACTGCAACATCTCGCAATTCGTATCTGGCCAGCGCGAGCGGAGGCAGCCTCCGGCAGCGGGGGCGCGAGCGAGGCTATTGCAGGGTCCGCGCCTCTACCCCGTGCACCGCAACTCGTTGCCAAAGGAATTGGGACAAACATTCCGATGTCCGGGC